GGAACAAAATGATGTTTGGGACCTTGTAGACTTGCTAGAATGTTGCAAAAGACTTGGTTGTAAGCGGGTTTTTAAAACTAAATGTGACTCTGATGGAAACCTTAAACAATACAAGGCTAGATTTGTTGTTAAAGGTTTTACTCAAAAGAATGACATTGATTACAAATGGACTTTTCACCTGTCTCATGATAAGATTCTTTTAGAATTATCAAGACATTAGTAGCCCATTATGACTTGGAGCTACATCAAATGAATGTGAAAATTGTCTTTTTAAATGGAGAATTAAAGGAGAATGTTTACATGGACCAACCAATGGGGTTCTAGATTGAAGGAAAAGAACATATGGTGTGCAAATTAAAGAAATCAATATACGGACTTAAGCTAGCCTCCCACCAATGGTATTTAAAGTTTAATGATACCATTATTTCCTTTAAGAAAAACATTGTTGATCGATGTATATATCTAAAGGTCAGTGAGAGTAAATTTATTTTTCTAATTCTATATATTGATGATATCTTGTTTGCAATTAATGATCTTAGTCTTATTCATGAGACTAAGACGTTTCTTTAGCTATGAGATAGGAATAGAAATATTTAAGATAAATCACAAGGACTATTAGGTTTGTCTCATAAAAAAGATATCAATAAAGTAAAAAAAGATTTAGGATGGATAAGTGCTCAACATCACCCACTCCAATTCAGAAAATAGACAAGTTTAGTCTCGTTCAATGTCTTAAAAATGACTTGGAATGAAAACAAATGGAAGCAAATCCATATACATCAGTTGTTGGGAGTATTATGTATGCTCAAATCTGTACTCGACCAGATATAAGTTTTGCAAATAGAATGTTAGGAAGATATCAAAGTAACTCGAGAATGGAACATTGGAAAGCTGCAAAGAAAGTTCTAAGATACTTATAGGAAACGAATGGTCACATGCTTACATATAGGAGGTCTGATAACCTTAAGGTGATTGGATATTCAGTCTTAGACTTTGTTGGATGTGTGGATTCAAGAAAATATACTCTTGGCTATGTATTTCTTTTAGCTGGAGAAGTAATATCATGGAAGAGTGCAAAATAATTTGTTGCTACTTCATCAACCATGGAAGCTGAATTTGTAGCATGTTTTGAGGCTATAATTCAGACTAATTGGCTATATATGGAACTTTATTTTAGAGCTTAGAATTGTAGATTGTATTGCTAAGCCCTTGAAAATGTATTATGCTAATTCTACAACAGTGTTTTCCTCTAAGAATGACAAGTAGTCCAAGGGTGTTAAGAATATGGAATTAAATTACTTTGTTGTCAAGGACTATAAATCATGATGAACGCAAATATATGTGTATGGGGGTCTTCATTGTTGGCTCTAGAAAATTGATTCCCTCTTATCAGGTTAACCAATTCCAACTTTATCTCAAACTAGGTTGTTGCAATTGTAGGTCTAGTGATGTTGTTTAACTTGCAAGGACCATGACGTGCCATGTGGTGGTGGTGGTGGAAGGGGACGAATTGAAGTGTTTCTTTTTCTGCCATCAATGTGGATATTAAGGATGTCTTGGCTTTCTTGTTGTCTTCTCCTTCCCAGAGAGTTGTTTCTTCTACAAGTCCTTTCAATCTTCGGATTATAGTACAACTTTACAACCCAAGTTTCACCTTACAAAACAAATTTCAGGCTAGAAAAATAACAAGTGAGATCTAATAAAAATTAAAATAAAATTGACTAAAATTAAAATTTCACAAAGTTAAGAAAATAGAAATCAAAACACCATATTATCATTAACTTATTATAGGACGCACATCCTTGACAATGATACCATTTACTTATGCATTTAGTAAGTATACCAATTGTCGTTGGTATAAAATTTGATAAAAGTTCAAGTTATCGAATTTACAAGGATTTGAGTTAACATTTTTCATTAATATTTTTGTATTAAATAGATGAACTAATGAAAATTAAGAATTGTTTAAAGTGAAATATGAGAAATTTATAAATTAATGAATATAAAATCCATATAATAAACTATGAAGAATTTGAATTTTATATAATGAGAACAGTTAGAGATTAATTAACTAACTTTTCCCATGTTTAGGGTTTAGTTCAATATCAAAAATTATACAATTAATTTAACAACTCATAATTATATTTAAAATCTAATTCCTTAGGTGAGTAATTTTAAGTTGTTTATGGAAAATCTAATTTCCTTAGTATTTTTTGTTAAACAACCGGTGTTAAGGTCAGAGACCAAAAATAGACTAATAATGTTTATCCTATTCCTAGTAATAAGTGCTATGAACATTTCATCTAGATCTTCTAAAAAAGTTTTCCAACCTCAGTTAAAATTATAAAATCATGCATTAGTCAAAGCAAACATTAAGTATAAAGTAAAAATGATTAAATTAATAAAAAAATGTAATGAATGAGAACATGAAAGATTACATATGAGTATGACAACTACATCAATCTTTAACAATAGAGACTTAATCACTCATAACTAAAGATTATACAATAAATAAAGGATCAATGAGTGATCTATTACTTCATTATTGCTTCCTCACATAACTCTTTAATCTCTCTAAAATTGTGTTTATAAAAAGTAATACAAACACAAAAGAGGTAATTTACGTCAGCTATTTTAAGCTTTTTACGTCCGAAAAATGTCTGACGTTAATGCGGGAGACGTAAATTTACATCGTATTTGAAAACTGACATAAATTTACGTCAGAAATTACCAAGGTCTGACGTAAAAAAGTAGTAACAAAGTAAAAAAAAAACATAACGAGTGCAAGTAGAATGGCCCGCGGCCCGTTCTGCTTAGAGAACGGCCCGTTCAGCATGGAGAACGGGTCGTTCTGCTTAAAGAACGAATCGTTCTGCTTGATAGAACAACCCAGAAGAAAAGGCCAACAATCCAAACAAATAGAACAACAAAAAAACTGGATAGAACAGATAGCCACAATAGCAATGCGAAGCAAAAATGTGTTAGTGAAACCCTGATTCATACCTGATAAGCTCCAACAGTGTGCGAATCAGTAACGAAGAGTTTACCCCACTCTGCAGAAGACAAAAGAAAATGATTCAGCAACAAAGGAGAGAAAGAGGGTTTACAAAGAAGAATCTAGAAAAGTGATGAGATCCGAGTGAGTGAATGTGTGCGGGTGTGCCTTGCACTCTCTTATTCGCTTTCGCGTCTTTTTTTTACATCGGACTTGGTAGGGTCCGACGTAAAATGTAAAATCTACGTCGGACACAACATACATCCGATGTAGATTTTACATTATGTCGGACCCTACCAGGTTCGATGTAAAAAAGTTCACAAAAATTACAAAAATGCTACCGCATCTTTTTTACGTCGGATTTTAGTGTGTCCGACGTTAAAGAGGTGACATAATATACTAATTTTTCACTAGTGTAAGTTATAAAGACCTCCTAAAAATCCTAATTTATAACATTTTAAATGGGATATTATTTGTGTATGTTCGCTCAGAGTGCACATGTAGCTCACTTAAGCAAGTTTGTTCGATATTTCCAAAGGTGGTTCCTAAATTGACTCACTCAAAGCAAGATTCTGGTACTCAAAGCGAATTTTAGCTTGCTCAAAGCAAACACTCTACTTGCTTAAGTGAGCTAGCTTCATCTTCCAAGTATAGTTTCTAACTTAGCTTGCTCAAAGTGAGTTGTTGGCCACTTTGAGCAAATTTTGACTTGTTAAGAGTACGTCCAATTGATCTTGGAGGGATGGTTTGAGACTTGTAGCTTCTAAGTTATATTTCCCCAGTGTCACATCTCAATAAAGAAAAATATTAAAAATATAATATTAAACAATTATATCTTAAAAATAAAATCAACTCTTGACTAAGTATTTTGTGAATAAAAACAAGATTGTAAAGCATAAACTATACTTAATAATTGAATAAATTGAATAATAACTGTATACTTATCAGAAATTATCATCATTGAAAAATGAGTTACTTTTGATTTGATCCTTGTATTTTTTTTTTGTTTTTCATATATCTAAAATTGAAATTATTACTTTTAGTCTCCAATATTATATAATCATTTTTAACTACTTTCGTGTTTATTCTATCGCCATCATCCCTAATAATACTTACATCTATATTTGATATCATATTAGTATGCGGTACTTCTAAAAAAACTTATAAATCCTTAAAACAAATGTTATTTATGTACTTAAAATGAATATTAGAGACTAAAAATAGTGGTTTTTGGTTTAAAAAATGAAAATCAAATAAAAATATTTAGAAGAATCAAAATATAAAGTATAAAATTGAAATGTAAAGTTAAATCTAAATTCAAAATTAATATATTTTATAGAAAAATATATTTAAATCTAAAGTTAAAATAAATTAAACAGTGTTTTCAAAAAATATATAATAGAAATAGGAGGGTGCCTATTAAAAGGAAGATGTGTGTATAATATTTATCAAATAATAATGAGATCGACGTGATTCTTATCTCATTAGTATTAATATTTGTTTGTTTGACTTATCATACATATAAAACAGTCACGTTTTAAATCTGCCTTTGTAAAATTGGGTCATCAATATTTCTTTATTCTACCCCTTGGACGACGAAACTAAAAAATATGCCTTGCTTTTTGTCGATAAATACTCCATCAGCTTCTTTTTATTTGTCAATTTCTTTTAAGTAAATTTACTTTTCATTTTCAAATTTAAAGATAAGATTAATTATTTTATTTTTTAATTATACTCTCACATTTCACTTAATGATTAATTAATTAATACATAATAATTAATATGTATTTATTATAGAACAAAATAAAATAAAATAAAAATAATGATAGAAACATCAAATTTATTTTATAAAAATAGAAAGAAAATTATTACATTTCTTTTAGTTTGTGCATAACAAACAACAACCTTACAAGATTATTAAAAATGACACAGGTAGTACATTTGTAATTTTGACTTTTTTTCACTCATTGATGGTCACTTGGATTTAAATATATAATTCCAACTCTTCTCCACGGTAGCCACACTGCTATTCTGCTAGTTCTCTCTCAATTTGGAGATCAAAAACACAAACCAGTTTGAGGAAATCATGGATTCAACTTATGACAGGAAAGCTGAAGTGAAAGCCTTTGATGATTCCAAAGCTGGTGTTAAGGGTCTTGTAGATTCTGGAGTCACAAAGATTCCACGCATGTTCCATTCTGGCAAGTTGGATATCATTCAAACCTTAGCCACTGATTCCAAATTAAGTGTCCCCATCATAGACCTCAAAGACATACACTGTGATCCCGTTCTGCATGCAGAAGCAATTGCCAAAATTCGAAGTGCATGTCATGAGTGGGGATTTTTCCAAGTCATTAATCATGGAATTCCAATCAGTGTGTTGGATGAGATGATTCATGGAATTCGGAGATTTCATGAACAAGACAGTGAAGTAAGAAAAGAGTTCTATACAAGGGATTTGAAGCAAAAAGTTATGTATTATTCAAACTTGAGATTGTCCAGTAACCACCCCGTTAATTGGAGAGACACTTTTGGATTTGCTGTTGCTCCAAATCCACCCAAACCTGAAGAAATACCATACGTATGCAGGTTAGAGTTTAACTTAATTTGATAAACCATCGGTATAAAGATTTTTACTATATTACCCAATTATAATTATTCAATGTAAAAGTAAACAATATTTTCAATCATATATTAGATCTATAATTGGTTACGGATTAGTATTTAGATCTAACTTGTAAACTAAATTTTTTAATTCAAATTTTGAATATGTAACTGTATTAAATATTTGGAGTTAGAGTTTTATCATCTGTAATAATTTTAATTGAGCAGTTGAGCTTAAACAAGATTGTCTTAAAAAAAGAAGTATCCATTTAATTTTTGCAGGGATATTGCAATTGAATATTCAAAGCAACTAATGGAATTGGGTTTTAGATTCTTTGAGCTATTGTCAGAGGCTTTGGGACTTGATCCTTCTTACCTTAAAGAATTGAATTGTGGTGAAGGACTCTTTATTGCAGGTCATTACTATCCAGCATGCCCTGAACCTGAATTAACCATGGGTGCTACCAAACACACGGATAGTAACTTCATGACTTTACTTCTACAAGATCAACTTGGTGGTCTTCAAGTTCTTCATCAGAATCAATGGGTCAATGTTCCTCCTGTGCATGGAGCTCTTGTTGTTAACATTGGAGATCTTCTACAGGTAAAATATTATTTCAGAGTTTGCATTTTAGAGGCTATATGTGTATTAAGAATTCAGATACAATTGAAAAAGCATAAAATAAAATTTAAAAAAAGGTTTAATTATTTTGGTTTAAGGTTAAGAGTTTATGAAAAAATTTCATGCCTGTAAAATATGGCTTCATAAAAAATGGTGTGGCACCTTTTGGTGTGTCATAGCAGCAAATTAATTAAGGTGGTTTGAATTTGTATAAATAAAGTTATTGGAAACATAGGTGAAGAAAGTGGATCGCGATTAAACATAGTGAGATACTGTAAAAGTGCAACAATTAGAGTATTGGAAAAAAATATATTAATAAAATGACAATAGTCAATAGAGGAAACCTAAAATGATTGGTGCTAAGTTTAACAATAGTGGGGATATTGAAAAACGTAGTTTATTAAACTTAGTACTGATAGAAATTACTATCAGTTAAAAGAATCAGTGTATTTTATTAAGAGCAGAAGGAAATAACAAGAACAATAGCTTACCAAACTCACAGAATAACTCTTTAGTCCCACACTATTCTGTTACAAATTTCATAATCTCCCTCTCTCTTCCCACCACTATCCTATATTCACATAACCTTTCTCTCTCCATAACTAACTCCATTTCTTGTCCACCTGAAGGGAGTTAAGGGTAGTGGGACATGTAGGGATTGGGTTCCTAACAATATCATTCTTTGGAAAATTTTCCTTGTCCTCAAGGCAAAAGGAACGAAATTGTTCCTTGAACATATTAGCCTCTTCCTAGGTAGCGTCCTCCACTAGTTGGGCCCTCCAAAGAACAAGCCACTACAAAACTGTTTTGCCAATTTACTTGCTCTCCCAAGATGCCAATATTGTTTCTAGAACAACAGGGTCTGCATCCTCTACTTCCATTTCTGGTGGAATAGTAGACACTGTTGCCTGCTCCTTAAAAGCTCGTTTAAGTTGAGAGACATGGAACACTCGATGGACTCGAGTTGTATCCAAAAGTTGCACCATATATGCCATTTCTCCCATATGTGCCTCAATCTGATAGGAGCCAAAATACTGAGGAGATAACTTCGGATTAATCATTCTGGCTATGGAACTCTACTTATGTGGTCCAAGTTTAATGTAGACCCAATCCCCTTCTGCAGTTCTGCATATACTACCTGCCTGTGATGGGAATCAACATATTTTTTCATAGTTTGCTGAGCTCTCTAGAGGTGGAACTTCAATTGTCACAAAGCCTCATCTTTATCTATTAAAACTCTTGCCATTAACTCCACAAGAGTTTTCCATTCAAGTAACGAATTACAGAGGCTGGTGGCCTACCATAGACCACTTCAAGTGGTGTTTTACCTGTGGCTGAATGCGGTGAAGTGTTATACAAAAATTCTACCAAATAAAGCCAAAAATGACACTGTTTGGGCTATTCTAAAACAAAATAGTGCAAATATGTTTTCAAGTGATGGGGACACAACAACACGAGCAAACTCAAACAGTTAACGCTGCGGAAATAAATCTTCCTAACTTATAAGAATCTATGAGGAACAACAACCAATGAACAACAATAATAAATTACCAAAATCACACATAAAAACACCAAGATTTTAACTTGCGATTTGGGAAGTTTGGTGATAAAGTCCATAGAAATCTCTTCCCAAACTAGATCAGGAATCGGTAATGGCTGCAACAAACCAACTGGAGATAGCGTTTGGTATTTATGTCTCTGACACACATCACAGTTGCAGATAAATTCCATAATATGTTTCTTCATGCCCCTCCAAAAGAAACTACCAACTATCCTTTTATAAGTTTTAGTGAAACTAGAATGCCTTCCTTTTGGAGTTGAATGAAATTCCTGCAACAAAGTGGGGATCAAGGCTGAATTCTTGGAGAGCAACAACCTTCCCTTATAGAATGTCCTCCCTTCTCTCCAACTGTAGTCGGGCTTGCTTGCTGGATCAACCTACAAGGCATCCTTCAGCTGAATTAGTTCATGGTCAACTAGGGCTTCTTCCTTTAATTTGAAAAAATCCAACCAAAGTGGACTTATAGTTATGACGTTCATTTCAGCTTCCCTTCCTTTAATTTGTTGCCTTATTTTCTGGGCTCAATTTGTATGCAACTTCAAATTGGTACCCCAATAGTTTGGACAACCAACATTGCTGATCAACAGAGATAATTTTCTGGTCAAGAAGATGCTTCTAGCTTCTGTGGTCAGTAAACACTTTGAAGTTTCTACCCATGAGGTAATGCCTCAAATGTTGGATAGCCACAATGTGAAGATAGTACAATTATATTACATAGACTAAATAAGTAATTAAATTTATTCTTAATTCTCTTCTAAAACAAAAGTAACTCTTAATTTTAAATACACTCCTTACTATTTGGATAAATTTATTAAAAATCATATATTTGTGAAGTTTCATTCTTTATTTAACGTGTTTTATTCATAATTTTAATTAAATTTTACCGATATGAAAAAGTATCAGAAAATGCATTGCTAGCTTTTGTTAATATGATTTTAGTGAACAGAAAATATCATGAATGAAGCTGATATTTCTTCTATCAATCATTGCTATAATTTAAGATAACCATGCGGTTAAACTTAAACCTTGTAGTTGATAAACCGTTTTCTCTAATAGCGTTATTTTTCTCCTTTATAAACATTAATCAATTTCTTTCATACTATGTTGCAGCTTATCACAAATGACAGGTTTGTTAGTGTTTGTCATCGGGTCTTATCAAATAATACAGGCCCAAGAATTTCTGTAGCAGGCTTCTTTGTAAATTTACAAGACCCAGTTAAGGGTACATCAAAGGTGTATGGTCCACTTAAGGAACTGCTTTCGGAAGAAAACCCACCGATGTACAGGGACACCACCTTAAAAGATTACTTGACATATTATTATTCAAATGGCCAGCTTGATGCCAGCTCTTCCTTGGAACCCTTCAGATTGTGAATCAAACATGGGAACAGAAATTCTAGCAACACATTTCTTTTAAAATACTCTCTCCGACCGAACAAAATATATTGAAAAACACAAAATTTAATGGATTAAACATCATATTTAATAGTGAATGTATTAAGAGAAGTGTATTAGAAAGTGTGTTGCATGCTATTGCTAAGACTCTCAACATGGGAATGCACTCTTTATTCTCATGGATCTGACTGTAATTTATCTAAATAAGAAGTCACTTTCTCGTTCAATTTTCATGCTAAGCACCTTCATATAAACAGCATCAACTTCTCGAGACTAAAGAAGAATTATCTATGTTACATTTTCTTAAATAATTTATAGTGTTTTTGTGGTAACAAAATATTTTTACCAGTGTTGGGAGTCACTATGCTCTCCGAAATCAAAAAGAGCATATGAAAAAGCTCTAAACTTAGTAAAATAATAGGAATGTATTGTAAGATATTGAAAAAGTATTAGAAGTTAACGAAATGGAGTTACACCTTAAGGTGAACCATGGTTAGTTGGTAATTTGTATTTGTTCAAATATAAATTGTGACACCATGTATTTTAATGTTTTTATTGCATGATGATGTGATAAATGTTGTTTTATGATGCTATATTGAGTTTTTAGTTGTTTTAAGTGTTCTATGATTCAATGGATTATTTAGAGCTAAATGTTTAGATATGTCAGGCGGAGATCAAAGTTTACTAAAAAGAACTAGATATTTAAGGTTTTCAAAGAACTTGAACTTTATAAGTTCATTTCTCTAAATTTTAGAGATAAGACTTAGAAAGATAAGCTTTGGAGCCAAGGAAAGATCTTTTCCTTTTCTGACTTCATTGAGAGCGTCCTCCCTTGAAGAGATTGAGTAATTGAGGTGGATATTCAAGTTTAGGAACTAAGAATCTTATGGAGAAATTGTCTTACGGAGAGTTTTAGGGTTTCTCCATTTTTTTCCTCTTCTTCTTGTTTTATGAAGCAATCAAAGTAAGAGAAGTTTGTTACTTGATTCTTTAAGTTATTTTTAAGTTGTGTTGGTGTTGTTTAGCCCATTGGTGGCTCAATTGTCGAGAATTGATTGTGTTTTTTTTAATCGTAAAGTTGAGGTTTTCAAGAGTAAAAAAACTTGTGACCAAAAGAAATTAAGATTTGATGATTTTTGTGTTGCAGTTGATGATTAAAGTTATATTCTTGTTATTTTTTATGCCTATAAATATTTTGATAGTTTGCATGTGGATGATCACAAGTGTGGTGGTTGGATTTGATGAGAGAAGATGAGTCTTCATGACGGAAATCCATGTTCTCCCCCAACAAGGGTGTATGCTTGCCTAGTGTGCATCTAGGATTGATGATTTTTTACCCAAAATTACATTCTCACTCTACAACGTGATTATTGCCTAGTGAGAATATGAATGTGGTAGCTCTTATGAGAGCATACCCAACGAGGCATAATGTGCCTAGCGAAAGAATCCACGGGGGGGGGGGGGGGTTTGCCCCCCAAAAAA